CCTCAGGCTGGACATCAGCAGGAATTTCTTCCTGGAGAGGGTGCTCAGGAATTGGAATGGGCAGGAGCGCCCATCCCTGGAGGTGTGCCAGGAATTCCTGGAGGTGGCACTCAGAGCTCTGGGCTGGGGACAGGATGGGCATGGGGCACAGCTGGGACTCCCTGGGCTGGGGGGGGGCTTTTCCAGCCCCAGGGATTCCACGGCTGTGATCTCCCCAGCCCTACCCCGCTGGCACTGCTCTGATGCCCAGCTTTATGTCCAGTGAGCCAGCTCAGTGCTGCTTTCACCCCCTGCTCCTTTCCCCATGGTGCATGCACCCGGAATGCCAACACCAGGAATGCCAGCCCAGCTCCCGGGCTGCCTCTGCTGGGCTGGCACGAGGTCACAGCACGGCATTCCCTCAGTCCCATGGAAGCTGGCATTCCCTGGACACAGCTGCAGCTCGGGCAGGGGGAGAGAAATGCTGTGCAGAAATACTGCCCCATCTCAGTCCAATTTCAGATGTCTTGGGTTTGGTTTGGTTTGGTTTCAAAGGTGGAGGGAAATGATGAAGGCAGGATTTGATGGCACAAACACGGTGAGATTTGATGTGTGAACAGCTGGGACCTTCTCTTGGGAATGAGGGCAAGCTCCAAGGGTGTGCTTGGACACTGGAAATAAAGGCAGGTTCTGGATAGGACCAGGGAATGGCTCCCGCTGCCAGAGGGCAGGGGTGAATGGGAGATTGGGAACTGGGAATTGCTGGCTGGGCTGGAATTGCCAGAGCAGCTGTGGCTGCCCCTGCATCCCTGGCAGTGCCCAAGGCCAGGTTGGACACTGGGACACCCTGGGACAGTGGGAGGTGTCCCTGCCATGGCAGGGCTGGCACTGGGTGGGATTTGATGTCCCTCCCAACACAAATCACTCAGTGATTCGGGGGTGGGATTTGCCTCCCAGCCCCGATCCTGGGGTGATGCTTTTCCCAGGTGTGTGGCTGTTCCCAGGTGTGGCCAAGTCACCCTGGCTGTTCCCAGGTCCAGTCATGCCCTCCCAGCTTCTCGTGGCTCTCTGTTGCTGTTTCCCTGTCCCAGGTCACTGCCTGACCTTGTCCCCTCGGTTTCTGTCCCACTGAGTCCTGCAGGGTGGCACGGGAGCCAGGGTGGTGGTGGCTCAGGGGAGAATTAATGCCTCAGGTTTGGCTTTTCTATTTTCACATTCTGAGCTGCTGTATTGTGTAGGGCTGGGCTTCACATCAGGGCATGGTGAGCTCTGGGCACAGAGCAGGGAGACAAAACAATTCCTGCTCCAGCTGGGCACCAAGGACAAATGATCCAAATCTCAGCCCAGGAGCACAAACCCCGTGGGCTGCAGAGAGAAAAACAAGCAGGATGGGAGTGCAGGGGCTGAGCTGGAATTGGACACTGAACTGCAATGTGCACATGGAGCAGAGCTGATCCCAGGGAGAGACCCCGGGAGCGCTCGTGCATTTTGGGACCATTTGGGTTCATCGTGGCGCCAGCCCTGGCTGGGCTCTTGTGCTGCCCAAGGTGGATGCATGGAGGAGATCCTTGGAATCAATCCCTGCTTTATTCTGGAACTCCATCCAGCCTCTGCTCTGGGGCAGCCTGCACAAGGGATCAGGAACGGTGTTAATGGATCATTAATGAGCACAGCCCGAGCCCTGCCTGGAACTGCGACATTGTTCTGCTACCAGGGACTGTGCTCTGCTCTGCTCTGCTCCTGGGGTTCTCTCCTCTGGGCACCCCTTCCAGCACAGGGACCCACACCCACCCTGCTCAGCCCCGTGTTCCTTCTGCTGCAGGAAACGGATCACACCCTGCACAGCAGCAGAAATTGGGATCACACCCTGCACTGGAGCAGAAACTGGGATCACACTCTGCACTGGAGCATTCAGGGGACAGGAGGGTTCACTGCAGGGTTCAGGTGAAAGTTGCTCCTCTGGGAATGCAGGGCAGGAGACTGAGACACACCTCCCTTCCAAAGGCCACCTTGGGTTTTCCTCCTTCCCCCCTTTGTTCTTGGTGATAATGATCCATGATTCCCCTCACCAAAAGACAAATAAAATTACTACAGGAAATAGGTTTGTTTTCCAACTGCAAGGCATCATCTGATATTACATTTGGAAAGTGCTGAAATGTTTATTTTCTTTATTAACAAAACTGCAGACAAGGGTGGCATTTTTTTAAGCTGGGAGAAATTCAATGGCACCTAAGTGGGGGGAAGCAAGGCCCATTTTTCATGATAAAAGAGGAGGATTTTGGAAATCGAGGAGCTGAACCACGACTGATGAGTTTAGGTCAAGTTCCCATCTCTACCAAGGGTTTGTTGTACAGCTCAGATAGTTCAATTTGTGTCTTGCTTTGCCCGTGCCCAGCTTTTCCTTCAGTTTGCAGGTTGGACACTGGGGCTGGAGCAGCCTGGGGCAGGGGAGGGTGTCCCTGCCATGGCAGGGGTGGCACTGGGTGGGGTTTGAGGTCCCTCCTACCCAAAACTTTCTGGGATTCTGTGGTTCTGTGGAAAATGCAGCATGACCAGCCCCAAGAGCCTGCTGCAGGTCTCACTTGCCTTCCATGGTTAAAAAAAGAAAACTAATTATTATCAAAGTAAGGTGACTTCCCTGCAGTATTTCAGGTTTTCCCTCAGAGCTGTCTCTCCAGGAGCCTCTGGTTCGGTGCTTTGTGATCAGAGACAACTTGCAGTATAACAATGTTCCATTTCTCATTATTATTGAAAGCAGAAATCATTTTTTAGACCTCCGCAGCTATTCTTTAACGAGGATAAAAACAAAAAGGAGGTAAAATCTGAGTTTTCTGGAGGCTGGGGGAGCTGTTTGTGAGAAGTTTGGCTGGGAAGAGGCTCCCTCAGAGGAAAGTTCAGAGCAGGAATCTCGAGGAGGGGGCTGGGGTCCCCCTTGGCCCTGCAGCCGTGGCAGTGAAGAGCTGCTGGGTGAATTCCCAGGTTCCTGAGCCCCAGGTTCCAGTGGGTTCTGCATTACCTTGAGATAATGGATGGTGCCAGCACCCAGCCAGGTTTTCAGACTTGAGAGCGGGATACAAATGAAGCATTTTGGGTAGAGGAAGAAATATAGTGTTATATTCCTATTTTGTTCTCATTAGTTCTTTTTTATATAAATAGTAACTGTGCAGGGTGTAATACATCCTCTGCTGTCAGGATTTATCAGGGAAGTGCTCTGGCTGGGCAATTGCTCTGTGAAAAATTAAGGGGTTTGCCTCATTCTATCAACATGTTTTGGTTTCACTGGTGAATAAAAATAGATTTTTAAATAACAGCCACACAAAGTAATAAAACCCAGAACAGAGCCTATTTTCATTCCAGAGGTGGATTCAGCTGGAATAGCTCACAGGGTAATTAATTACTAAGGCCCATTATTACAAATACAACAGAAAAGTCTAATGAATATTGTGGCGATTTTTAATTTCTGTCAGCCAACTGTGAGATGTCAGCCGGCTTTTGCACAGGGTTGTGTGCAGGGGAGGGGATGAAAAAGAGTCCCTTTGCACTCTGGGTGTGCAGCAGCTGTTCCTGGGCATTGTGCACAGCCCCCGTGACTGGGCCCAGAACATTCTGCAGCTTCTTCCCGTTGCTGTCACGTCTGGGGTGGGACGTCCAGTTGGGTCTGATGGTTCCCAGTTCAATCAGGTGTTGGGGGTTTTGGGGTCGTCTCTCCTGGAGGAAGGTTCCAAAGGGATTGTGGATGTGCTGGGGTGATTCTTTCCAAACCATCCCTAGGAGCTGATCTCGCCAAAGGAACGTGCAGAACCCTCCTGGCACATGGAAGTGGTCTGGGGTCAGGCTCCAGGATCCCTAAACCAGAGATCCCAGACTGGTTTGGGGGGAAGGGACCTCAACCCCCACCCAGTGCCACCCCTGCCATGGCAGGGACACCTCCCACTGTCCCAGGGTGTCCCAGTGTCCAACCTGGCCTTGGGCACTGCCAGGGATCCAGGGGCAGCCACAGCTGCTCTGGGAATTCTGTCTCAGCCAGGAATTCCCAATTCCCAATCTCCCATCCATCCCTGCCCTCTGGCAGTGGGAGCCATTCCCAGGGTCCTGTCCCTCCATGCCCTTTCCCCGGGAAAATGTCCAGAAAAGCTCTGAGTTCCTGGGAAATCTGATCCTGTTTAAGATCTGAGTATCTGGGAAATCTGATCCTGTTTAGGGTCTGACTACCTGGGAAATCCGATCCTGTTTCGGGTCGGAGTACCTGGGTAATCTGATCCTGTTTAAGATCTGAGTACCTGGGAAATCTGATCCTGTTTAGGGTCTGACTACCTGGGAAATCCGATCCTGTTTCGGGTCGGAGTACCTGGGTAATCTGATCCTGTTTAAGATCTGAGTACCTGGGAAATCTGATCCTGTTTAGGGTCTGAGTTCCTGGGAAATCTGATCCTCTTTAAGGTCTGAGTACCTGGGAAATCCAATCTTGTTTAAGGTCTGAGTTCCTGGGAAATCCGATCCTGTTTAAGGTCTGAGTTCCTGGGAAATCCGAGCCTGTTTGGCCCCTGTGCTCCCACAGGACCCAGCAGGAGGTGTCCTACAGGGGAGCTCAGCTCTCCGTGAGGCCCCCGAGCCCTGAGGAGGGTTCTGGACGGGGAGCTGGCTGTGACCCTGAGCCCAGCCGGGTGTTTGTGAGGCTCCAGGCTCCCTCCTGGGGACTTTGGGGAGCGCTCAGCAGGGAGCTGATGGAGCAGGGGAGATGAGCAATCAGGGCGGGCAGAGCTGAGCCAGCAGCACCACCTGCCACAGCCCGGGGAGAAGGTGCTATTTCTGGCAGGGGCTTGATTCCAGAGAATGGAGCTGATTTCTGATGAGCACAGGCTGCTCTGACGGGCTGGGGGAGGGAGAGCCTCATCCCCGGGGCTGAGTATCCCGAGGTGTGGCCAGCCCTGCTGACAGGCTCTGTGCCAGGCAGCCTGGGTGGGCAGAGGTGGCAGTGGCTCTGCTTTCACCTGGTTCCAGAGGGAACCTCTGCTGGGGGAGGCAGGGCAGGCTAGATGTGCCCTCAGCTCCTGCTCAGAGACTCCAGGGATTCCCTGGAGCAAAGAAAAGGGACCTTGGCCGATGCTCTTGGACACAGGGACCATTCCCAGCACCTCAGGTGATGTTTTGCTTCAGGCTGGTGGGGTTTGGGCCTTCCTGAGCATCTTGCAGGGATTCCCTGGTGCAGGGGGTGATCAGAGGGATGGAGCACTTCTGCTGTGGGGAAAGGCTGAGGGAATTGTTCAGCTGGGGAGGAGGAGGCTGCAGGGAGAGCTCAGAGCCCCTAGCAGGGCCTGGAGGGGCTCCAGGAGAGCTGGAGAGGGACTGGGGACAAGGATGGAGGGACAGGACACAGGGAATGGCTCCCACTGCCAGAGGGCAGGGATGGATGGGAGATTGGGAACTGGGAATTGCTGGCTGGGCTGGAATTGCCAGAGCAGCTGTGGCTGCCCCTGGATGCCTGGCAGTGCCCAAGGCGAGGTTGGACACTGGGACAGCCTGGGACAGTGGGAGGTGTCCCTGCCATGGCAGGGCTGGGATGGGTGGGGTTTGAGGTTTTTTGGACCCAAAGCACTCCAGGATTCTCTGATTCTGTCCTTCTGGCACTGGGTGGACTGAGGAAGGTGGATTCCCTCCATTCCCACCCAGCAGGGCTCCCAGCCCTGTCACTGCTGCCCCCGGGGCTCTGCTGTGCCCAGCTCTGGTGCTGTCACTGCAGCTCAGTCCCCACCACCCTGGAACTCCCCGGGGCTGTGTCCAGCTCTGTCTGATCACAAAAACTGCCTGAAGATCTGTAGGCAGGGCTCTGGGAAAGGGCAGCAGCAGCTCTTCGGCTGGCGTTTACCAGGGAAGCAGGAGGCAGAGGGTGATTGGGATAATAATGGCCAGGAAGCAGCACCGAGGGCTGCAATTTGTTGTTCCGGGGAGAGAAAGGAAGGAGGGTGATGGCAGAGGTGAGAAAAGGCGATTCCAGCTCAGCCAGGGCAGCAGCAGCAGCAGCAGCAGGATCCTCCCGGGAGAGAGGCAGAGGAGCTGCAGCAGCGCTGCCTGGGCCTGGAGGAGGCTGCAGAGGGAAGGTGGGCACTGCTGAGGGCACGGAGGATGGAAAGAATCCTCCAGACACCCAGAAACATGGACAGATTACTGAGCACGAACATGAAGGAAGAGACTCCTGCCTGCAGAAATAAAGTCAGAGAACAGAAGGCTCAAAATGGGCAAAGAGCATAAAAGACAGGGAGGCATAAATGCATCTGGAATGAGAGGAAGACAAAGGCAGGGCAGGGAAGCAAATGGAGGCTGAGGCCTCATTGTTTCATCCTTCAGGGAAAGGTTAAATGTGAGCAGACACTCTCTGCAATTATCTCAACACGGGGTTAAGGGGAGAGCAGAGATGTCAGCGTGCTCAGGTAAATCAGGTACCTGCCAAGCCCCACTCAGGGTGTGCTCTGGGTTGGGAGAGACCCCCCAAATCAGCCCTGGCAATCAGGCAGGGAGGGCGAGGGACGCGGGAGGGTGCAAAGCCCCCAGGGAAATCTCCAGAGCTGAGGGCAGAGGGAAGGGCTGGGCGGGTCCCAGGAGCAGGATGGAATGATGGGTTTGTGGGCAGGGAGAGGACAGACAGGGCCCGGGGGGATGTTCAGGGACAAATGCAGAGGCAGGGCTGTGCTCTGACAGGGGAAGGGGCTCTGGGGTGAACCTGAGGTGGCAGTCACTGCTCAGACCCCTCAGGGCAGCCCTGGCTCTGTGCCTGTTTCTCATTGCTAAGGAATGCTCCCAGTGACACCAGCCAGCAGGGCAGCCCCGTTGGAGGCACAGAGAGACTTCAGGTAAAGCAGCAAAGCTGGAGAGAGAGGAGAGGTCCCGTCCCAGGTTCTGAAGGGATCGTGGACGTGCTGGGCTGATTCTTTCCAAACCATCCCTAGGAGGTGATCTCCTCAGGAACGTGCAGCTCCCACCCTGGCACATGGAAGTGTTGTGGGGTCAGGCTCCAGGATCCCAAAACCAGAGATCCCAGAAAGGTTTGGATGGGAAGGGACCTCAAATCCCACCCAGTGGTACCCCTGCCATGGCAGGGACCCCTCCCACTGTCCCAGGGTGCTCCAGCCCCAGTGTCCCACCTGGCCTTGGGCACTGCCAGGGATCCAGGGGCAGCCACAGCTGCTCTGGCAATTCCATTCCAGCCCTCCCCACCCTCCCAGGGGAGGATTTCTCCCCGAAATCTGATTTAAACCAACCCACTTTCAGCTTCAAACCAGCCCAGCCCAGTCTGGGGTTCTTGGATGTGCACAGTGAATATTTCTGCAGATGGAGGATCTACAGCTCGTCCAGGACCCCGTGACAAAGCTGTAATCCCACAAATTGCAGGATTTTCTCTTGATCTCAGCCTCCAAATATTTGCAGAGCTGTAGATAATCCCTGCACCTGCTGGTGCCTCTGTGTGCACATCCTGTACCGCTGAAGGGGCTCCTCTGCTCATGGCAATCTGAAAGAAAGAATTCTAAATTTAGAACAGAATGCTACCAACGTGCTCAGTTTAAACTTTACATTTCAAGTTCGTCCAGTCAGTTTGGAAAACTCTGGATTTGGTTAATGGGAAAATCCCAGCTTGGGTCTGTTTATGTTTATGGGATTCCTCCTGCAAACATCCTTTCCTGCAAAGGCTTTGTGGCACCAGAGCTCAGCCAACCCTTTGTGCTGCTGCATTTATTTGGAGCAGCTCCTCCCAGAGCTTCCTAAGCTCTCAATCAAAGGCTGCTGGGAGCAGGGAAATATTCCTGTGCTTTGTTTGGGTGCTCTCCCATAGGACCCCAACAGCAAAACCTTGAGCTGTGTCTTGAATGCCCGTAACCAACAACAGTATTGGGGAAAAATATTCTTATCAAGTCATTTTTTTTCCCCTTTTGCAGCATGTCTTTAATAGAAAAATGGGACATCTGAATGAATTTTATATGTTCCCTGAATTGCTCCAGCCTTTGAAATAGCTCAGCTTGAGGTTTTAGTCAATATGAATGGAGACATTTAAAAAATCTCTGTGCTCTGCTGTCAATAAGAGATGGCAAAAGGCTAAAGAGATGAAAATAGAGAGTGCAGGCAGAGCTGCAGCCAGTGCAGAGCTGCCTCCACAGAGAACAGCCACTGCTAATGGGAATAGAAGCATTGGATAGGAATTTATGGCAGGGTTGATGCTAAAGAAACCCCTTTCTTGCATTCCTTTGAAAATAAATTAGTGGCTAAACCTCACCAAAGCCCAGCCTGGTTTGATTTTTGAAATGTGAAAAAGTTAATTGGAGCATTTTGCTAATACTAATAATAGGAGTGAGTGAGAACCAGTGGAGGAGGGAAGACTCAAGGCTGGAAAAGCCCTGTAAGATCAAGTGTGAGCACCAGATCAGCAACCCCTGGGCCATGGTCAGTACAGCCATGGTCACTGCAGCCATGGTCACCCATGAGCTGTGGTCACTGCAGCCATGGCCATTGCAGCCATGGTCACCCCTGAGCTATGGTCACTGCAGCCATGGTCACTGCAGCCATGGTCACTGCAGCCATGGTCACCACTGAGCCATGGTCACTGCAGCCATGGTCACTGCAGCCATGGTCACCCTGGGCCATGGTCACTGCAGCCATGGTCACTGCAGCCATGGTCAGTACAGCCATGGTCACCCTGAGCTATGGTCACTGCAGCCATGGTCAGTACAGCCATGGTCACTGAGCCATGGTCACCCTGGGCCATGGTCACCCCTGAACCAGCTGGATCAGCTCGTTGGAATTCCACAGGGATGGTGGAGGGTTCGTACCCAGGGCTGGGAGGGAATTCCTGCTGGGGAATTTTCCAGCATCATCCTGGGGTTGTCATTGGAGCTGCAGGAGAAGTTCTGTCACCCTGGGAGGAGAAGTTCTGTCACCCCTGGTGTTTCTGCACCAACAAAACAAAACCTTGGGGGGAGATTTTGGAACCCTGGGGGCTCCCGGAGGATTGGAGGAGTAGGGTGATGCTGGACACACATCAGCAGCACAGGAACATGGGAATGGGGGGAAGAAGTAAAAACGTCTGTTGGGAGGGGTCCTCACGTGGAGAGCCTGGTGCCACGGTCTGCTCATGAGTGTGGGTGACAAGACCGGCTTTGATCTGTGCCATTCGTGTCAGACTCACCCCAGCTGAGAACAATTCTGCACTCCAACCCGTTTGTCAGGGCTGCAGCCCAGCCCTGCTCCCTGGTGTATCCTGTGAGGATGTGGTGTTGGGTACAGCCCTGCTCCCTGGTGTATCCTGTGAGGATGCTGTGCACTGCAGCCCTGCTCCCTGGTGTATCCTGTAAGGATGCTGTGTGTGCTGCAGCCCTGCTCCCTGGTGTATCCTGTGAGGATGCTGTGTTGGGTACAGCCCTGCTCCCTGGTGTATCCTGTGAGGATGCTGTGTTGGGTACAGCCCTGCTCCCTGGTGTATCCTGTGAGGATGCTGTGTTGGGTACAGCCCTGCTCCCTGGTGTATCCTGTGAGGATGCTGTGTGTACATGCCCTGACTCAGCTCTGGGGCTGCCATCCCTGGGAGGCTCTGGAGGCATCAGAGCTGGGAGGGATGAGATCCCTGGCTGGATTAAATCGTGTCAGGCAGGAAATTGGGCAGTGCTTGAGAAAGAGCAGCCTGAGCAGCCTGGGAATGTTCTCCTCTCCCATCAGCCTGAGCAGCCTGGGAATGTTCTCCTCTCCCAGCTCCCTGAGCAGCCTGGGAATGTTCTCCAATCGTGTCAGGCAGGAAATTGGGCAGTGCTTGAGAAAGAGCAGCCTGAGCAGCCTGGGAATGTTCTCCTCTCCCATCTCCCTGAGCAGCCTGGGAATGTTCTCCTCTCGTGTCAGGCAGGAAATCGGGGGGTTCTTCTCTTCTACCAGCCTGAGCAGCCTGGGAATGTTCTCCTCTCCCAGCTCCCTGAGCAGCCTGGGAATGTTCTCTTCTCCCAGCTCCCTGAGCCTGGGAATGTTCTCCTCTCCCAGCTCCCTGAGCCTGGGAATGTTCTCCCCTCCCAGCTCCCTGAGCAGCCAGGGAATGTTCTCCTCTCCCAGCTCCCTGAGCCAGCTGGTCAGATAGGAGCAGAGGTTCCCTGGGTGTCCCGAGGAGCTGGGGCTCTGCTTTGCAAATCAAAATCAAGCACCTCCTTGTGCTCCACAAGCAGCAAATGTTGCTCCTGATCCTTTGGGTGGGCTTTAAAGTGGATTCTGCAGGCTGGTTTGGAAGATGGAGCTTCCCAGCTCCCTGAGCAGCCAGGGAATGTTCTCCTCTCCCAGCTCCCTGAGCCAGCTGGTCAGATAGGAGCAGAGGTTCCCTGGGTGTCCCGAGGAGCTGGGGCTCTGCTTTGCAAATCAAAATCAAGCACCTCCTTGTGCTCCACAAGCAGCAAATGTTGCTCCTGATCCTTTGGGTGGGCTTTAAAGTGGATTCTGCAGGCTGGTTTGGAAGATGGAGCTTTGTTCCCTGCTTCCCTCCCCATCACGCTGGGGTCTGGGGAAGGCTGGAGCTTCAACCTTCCCAGCTGCAGGCAGTGCCTGGTTCGTGTCTGTCACTGCTCACTCCTGCTCTTCCTGCTGCCAGCTGGAATTCCCTGTGGGAAAAACACAACTGGGTGCAACTAAAATGGGAAGGGAAGGATCCGTGACTTAAATGTTGTTATGGAATGAACAGAGACCATTCTTCTGAGGATTTCACAGAATCCCAGAATGGTTTGGGGTGGGAGGGACCTCAAACCCACCCAGTGCCACTCCTGCCATGGCAGGGACACCTCCCACTGTCCCAGGATGTCCCAGTGTCCAGCCTGGCCTTGGGCACTGCCAGGGATCCAGGGGCAGCCACAGCTGCTCTGGCAAAGCCTTGTTTGTCTTTGCTCTTGCCTATCCCACCGAGGTTACCTGCCTGCATTCCTGCCACCTTTTGCATCCTCCTTTCCCCCTCAGGAGCCCATTCCCATGGAAACTTCCTCATCAGTGCAGCTCATCTCAAAGAAATAATTGGCGTGCATCTCAAAGAAATAATTGGCATGAGGAGGATCTATGGAAAATATATTCCTGAGTAATTAGGCAAAAAGCACCTGTTCTTCCTTCAGTGGGCACCAGGCAGTGGATGAGCTCTAATAGTGCTGTTTGCAAATATCAAATAATAATGGGAAGTGTGACAATAATGAAGTAAGTAATCAGAGGAGCTGTTGAGTACAGGTGCCTCCATTTACAGCTCTTTCATCAAAGAGAAAATTAAGCGCTCTCAGAATATTATGGCAAATTGCTGCTGTTCCATGACTGCTAATCAGGTGGAGTGTATAAATGCAACAGGAAAAATCTTCGGCAGCAATTATGGCGCTGGGTGATTAACACACGGAGCACATCCTGGGACAGCAGCGGGCTCCTTTCTCTGCCTGCAGATGGAAATGCTTGTCACAAAGACAGGCAGTGAAACCTGGGGCCACCAGCACCTCTGGGGTTGGGTGATGGGCCAGGGCAGAGAGTTCCAGAATTCCTGGGGCTGGAAGAGACCTCTGGGATCATCATTCCAACCTTCCACCAACCCCACCATTCCCACTGAACTTGGCATGGAGTGTGACCTGAGGGAACGCTGGGGCTGGGCCAGGGGAGGTTTGGGATGGATTTCAGGGAAAGACTCTTCCCCAGAGGGTGGAACCAGCACTGGAACAGCTCCCCAGGGAATGGGCACGGCCCCGAGGCTGCCAGAGCTCCAGGAGCTGCTTCTAGGGATGCCCAGGGTGGGATTGCTGGGGGTGTGGGCAGGGGTGGGGCTGGGATGATCCCTGTGGGTCCCTCCAGCTCAGGATATTCCATGATTCTCTGATTTTACTCAGTTTTCTGACCATTTTCAGGCTGGTGACTCCCTTGCCCTGGGCACCTGTCCCCATGTGCAGCCCCAGGTCCTTGTCCTGTCCCAGGACCCTCTCAGAGCTCAGGCTTCCTCTGCTCAGGGTCAGGATCTCCACCCAGGTGAGTGCTCTCTCGGGGTGGGATGTGTGGCAGACACAGAAATGCCTGACCTTGCTGGCACCCTTCATCAAGCCCCGCGTGTTGTTCCTGCCAGGGCAGGGAAGTACCCTGGATTTAGGTGGCACACAGGCATCCTTTCATTCATGGAATCAAGGCTGGAAAAGACCCCTCAGCCCATCCAGCCACAACCCTTCCCCAGCTCTGCCAAAGCCACCCCTAACCCATGTCCCCACGTGCCACAGCCAGAGGTTTTTGGAACCCTTCCAGGCCCCAGTGGCTCCGTCCGTCCATGGTGTTCCTCAAAGCCTGAGCTTCCTGCTCTCAGGGCTTTTCCTCGGGGCCGTGGCCAAGCCCTCATGCCTGAGAGCAGCCTGGAGCTGTGGCAGTGGGATGGAGGAGGGCTGGGTTTGGCTGTCTCAGGAGGGAGGATAACATAACCCCACTGTAAACCCAGGTGTCTCCATCTGTACCCCTCTGCTCCTTCCCAGTGCTGTGTCTGGCTTTATGAATCTGTCAGGTCCCCTTGCATTTTCTCCTGGGGAGTTTGGGGTTGTGAAGCTGTTCCTGTGCTGACACTTGATGGGTAGATGTGCTGATATCTGCCCACCAGGAAGCACCTGCTGCTGTTTTATTTGCTGTGTCCTGGCCTCTGTGGAACCTCCTGCCATCCCATCCCAGGCCCTGCCTCACACCCAGAGCTCACAGGGAGACACCTGAGCCCAGGAGATGGGATTCCTGCAGGATTGGTTTGGCTTGGAAGTGCCTTAAGGCTCATCCCATCCCAGCCCTGCCAAGGGCAGGGACACCTCCCAGTGCCCCAGGCTGCTCCAGTTCCCACCCAGCCTGGCTTGGATCACAGCCTTGGTTGTGTTCTAAGTGAGGGGGGCACCCAGCTGGCCCCCTGAAAAGGGGGGAGCCTGGGAAAATGACCAGGTACCTCCTGGATATGTGGTGGAAAAGGCAGCTCTGCAGGTCAGCCCCTCCAGTGCTCGAAAAGCCTTTCTGTAAGGGAATTCTCCCTGAGCTGGAGGCCTCTGGGACAGGGATGGATTCCCCTGGCCAGTCCTTCAGTAAGCATCCATCCACAGGGCTGCTCATCCTGCCTTGAGATAGAAACCCTAAACCTTCAGAAATCAGCCCAACCCCTGCACCTGGGGCTGCTCCTCCTGCCTTGGACACAGAAACCCTAAACCTTCAGAAATCAGCGCAAACCCTGCACTGGGAGCTGCTCCTCCTGCCTTGGAGACAGAAAACCTAAACCTTCAGAAATCAGCCCAAACCCTGCACCTGGGGCTGCTCCTCCTGCCTTGGACACAGAAACCCTAAACCTTCAGAAATCAGCCCAAACCCTGCACCTGTGACTGTTCCTCCTGCCTTGGAGACAGAAACCCTAAACCTTCAGAAATCAGCCCAAACCCTGCACCTGGGGCTGCTCCTCCTGCCTTGGACACAGAAACCCTAAACCTTCAGAAATCAGCGCAAACCCTGCACTGGGAGCTGCTCCTCCTGCCTTGGAGACAGAAACCCTAAACCTTCAGAAATCAGCCCAAACCCTGCACCTAGGGCTGCTCCTCCTGCCTTGGAGACAGAAAACCTAAACCTTCAGAAATCAGCCCAAACCCTGCACCTGTGACTGTTCCTCCTGCCTTGGAGACAGAAACCCTAAACCTTCAGAAACCAGCCCAAGCCCTGCAGCGGGGCTGGGAGGCAGGGCTGGCGCTGCTCTGGGTGCTCCAGCCCTTGGCCACCGAGCAGCCCCTGCAGCTCTGGCCCCTCGGGCTGCTCTGCTCAGGCCAGCCTGCCTGGCTGAGCCCAGCTCAGCACAGCAGTGCTGAGAGCGCTTCCCCTTGGCACGCTCTCCGTGCTGCTGCTGCTGCTGATGTCCCTGTGGGGCCACTTGGAGCTGGAAGGGTTGCAGAGCTATATCTTAATTTGCTGCCAGCTGCCAGCAGCGCTGCTCTGACACCCCTCCATCACTGCTGTCCCTCGCCGCCGCTCGCAGGCACTTCAAATGCTTCTGAGCAGATGGAGAGGGAAGGGAAGGATCGGCTTGGATCGTGTTTGCTAGAGCAGGAGGGTGTTTTTCTCTTCAGGGGTTTGAGCCTCTCCAGGAAGATACCGTGGTGACTTCTGCATCTTGGAATCATGGGGTTCTTCAGGCTGGAAAAGCCCCCTCAGACCGTGGAGTCCAACCCTTCCCCAGCCCTGTCCCCTGTGCCCAAGTGTCACATCTGCATGGCTGTTAAATCCCCACAGGGATGGGCACTCCAACCCTCCCTGGGCAGTGCCAAGGCCTGAGCACCCTTTCCATGGGGAAATTCTCACTTCAGGAATTCTCCAGCCCTTTCCAGCTCTCTCAGGAGTTCTCCAGCCCTTCCCAGCTCTCTCAGGAATTCTCCAGCTCCTTCAGGAATTCTCCAGTCCTTCCCAGCTCCATTCCCTTCCCCGGACATGCTCCAGCCCCTCCAGGTCCTTCCAGAGCTGAGGAGCCCCAGACTGGCTCCTGCACTGGAGGTGTGCACTCAGCATTGTCCAGAACAGGGGGGAATTTTTGGATTGCTCAGAATTGTTGCATTTTTCAGGCAGCTCAGGTAAGGCCTGGCCTGGCTGTTCCTGCAGCTCCCTGGGGAACTGGAGGATCCTCTGGCCAGAGCCTGGTGCTGGCACATCCCAGGGGTCTGGGATGGTTCCTGGGAACCCACGGGAAGGCCCTGCTCAAGGGGCAGGGCAGAGCAGCCCACGCAGCCTCACCTGTCCCAGCCAGCCTTGGATGCTGAGGATGCACCTGCAGACACCCAGGGGCAGGAGCAGGGACTTCATCCTGAGCAGAGCTGGTTTGAAGCTGCCCCTATCCCTGGAAAATGGTGACCCCAGCCCCCCCAAACCCAACAGCTCTGCAGCTGGGGCTGTGTGCGTCCAGCCCAGAGGAAACAGGTAAGAAAAGGTGCCTGGGATTACTAACAGGAAACTCCTCCCTGCTTCCAGGGGCAACATTCCTGCTGCTGCACGTCCCTGCTGCCCTGGTGTCCATCACAGCCCTGTCCAGTCCCTGCCCTGTAACTGGGATGGTCTCTGCATGCCCAGGGCTGGGTTCTGGGGCCACGTGGGTCCCTCTGTGTGCCAGAACCTCACTTTGGAGCCAGGGAATCATTCCAGCTCCTCGGTGACTTGGGTACTGTCCCCTCCCCAGGGAACAACTGCTTGGGGGTACTTTCCACTGTCCCAGGGTGTCCCAGCCACAGTGTCCAGCCTGGCCTTGGGCAGTGCCGGGGTCCAGGGGCAGCCACAGCTGCTCTGGGCACCTGTGCCACCCTCATTGTATAAAACCATATCAATGTAAATCTCCTCTCTCAGGTCAAACATCACCCTTTGCTCTACTGCCACAGGCCCTGCTAAAATATTTGTCCCCATCCCTGGATGAGGAGGACAGGAAGAGTTGAGGTGCACAAAACCCATCTTACAGTGGAACACTGAGCAAACTGCATTTATTTACTTTGCCCGATGAGAACAACCCCTGATTTCATCTCTACCTGAGCACTGTCAGGGGAGAAGATGCCTGAAAACAAAGGTCTCTGATTTATCAGACAAAGGTACAACAAGGCCAAGTGCCCAAGAGCAGCAGCCAGACATGCTTGAAATAGAGAAAAAAACAATTTTAGCGTTGAGCAAATCAAACCAGAATATCCAAGGGATAGTTCCTCTCACTGGAAATCCACTCAGGGGCCAGGTGCAATTCCTGTCAGTCTGCACGGAGGGGACAGCCCCAGGCAGGCTCAGCTCCTGCCTCTGAGCTTCTGGAAGCCAAAGGAGGGCAGGGATGGGTGGGAAATTGGGAATTGCTGGCTGAGCTGGAATTCCCAGAGCAGCTGTGGCTGCCCCGGATCCCTGGCAGTGCCCAAGGCCAGGCTGGACACTGGGACACCCTGGGACAATGGGAGATGTCCCTGCCATGGCAGGGGTGGGGTGAGAAGGACTTTAAGGTCCCTTCCATCCATTCTGGGGTTCCATGGGGTCCCCCCAAGGTGGTGTCAGCCATGGGAACACTGCCAAGCCCTTCCCAAAACCCGGGGGCCGTGCTGGAGCCTCAGACCTCCTCCAATAAATACGGATTTTAAACTGAATTGTTTGCCAGAGTTGTTTGTGCATCACAGCATTTCAGCTCCCCTTTTGTTTTTTGCTCCTGGTGAAATCTGAATGCAAACTCTTCATCTTCCCAGGTTTATTTATCTGTTTACTGCTCATTTATTTGCTGCCTTCCCTTCTCCCTTCCCCGCAGCTCCTGGGTGTCGGTGGGAAAGCAGAGATAAGTTAATCTGAACAAAACATGGGAATACTTGAAAAAGTCCTTCCCATCAAATTACAGGGAACAACATTTACTTTTCATCTCTGCTCCACATTTCCGTGTCCCTCTGATCTCTCTCGACATCAGGCACTCCTGCCAGGAAGGATTTGTTGTCCTGGATCAGTGGGCTGCGTTTCCCCAGAGATGCCCAGAACCCAGCAGGATCCTGGAACTGGGCACTGGGTGCTGATCAAAGGCACGAGGAGCAATTCCTGGGAAAAGAACCAGGGGAAGGCAGGGCTTTCCCCCCAGGGCTCTGGCTGGCTGCAACAATCTTGCTGGAATAGTTGAACCTGCTTTTATTTTTAATTTTAAGGATTTTTTTTTGGTCTCCTTAAAACGGTAAATGATGTTTTGTGCTGAAGTTGGGCTGTGCTTTAACACCAGTACGGATTCAGTTCAGTGGCCTCTGGAAATATCCATCGGTTTATTGGCTTGGCCACAGGAGCCCCAGGAAGGGCTCCCCTGCCTCCTGTGGCACCGGGGAGGAGGGACCGCTGTCCCAGAGGTTGTGGCAGTGGCGGCGGTGGCTCTGGTGGTGGCACTGGTGGCCCTGGCCGTGCTGGTGCCAGCAGGGGAGGTGGCAGTGGCAGTGGGGGGCCATGGCAGTGGCACTGGTGGCAGTGGAGGTGGTGACAGTGACGTTGGAGATGGCGGCAGTGGAGGCAGTGGCACTGGTGGTAGAGGTGGCAGTGGTGACAGTGGTGGCGGTCACTGTGGTGGCAATGGTGACAGTGACAGCAGCCATGGTGACAGTGGTGACAATGATGACAAAGATGACAATGGCTGTAACAGTTGTGACAGTGGTGACAGCAGTGACAGTGGCCATGGGGACAGTGGTGACAGTGATGTCAGTGGTGACAATGGAGACAATGATGACAATGATGACACTGATGACAGTCGTGACAGGGTGACAATGACAATAGTGGCAGTGGTGACAGCGGTGACAATGATGATGGTTGTGGCAGTGGCCATGGGGACAATGATGACAGCAGTGGCAGTGGCCATGGGGACAGTGGTGACAATGACAGTGGTGGCAGTGGTGACAATGATGACAGTGGTGGCAGTGGCCATGGTGGCAGCGGTGACAATGATGACACTGGTGGCAGTGGTGGCTATGACAGTGGTGGCAGTGGCAGTGGTGACAATGACAGCGGTGGCAGTGGCCATGGTGGCAGTGGTGACAATGACAGCGGTGGCAGTGGCAGTGGTGGCAGTGGTGACAATGATGACAGTGGTGGCAGTGGCAGTGGTGACAATGATGACAGCGGTGGCAGTGGCCATGGTGGCGGTGGTGACAATGACAGTGGTGGCAGTGGTGACAATGATGATGGCGGTGGCAGTGGCCATGGTGGCGGTGGTGGCAGCGGTGACACGGTGACAGCGGCCGTGCATGCCCCCACGTCTACAGCAGAGGGCAATCACGCGAAGGCAAAGCCGCTCCTCGGCGGGACCCGCGGGACACGGGCGGCTCGCACCCTAATTAATGATTAATTAGCTCTTTAATTGCTGCCGGAGCCGGGATCCCGCGGACCGTCAGAGCAGCAGAGCCCGCGTGCCCGCATCCCGAGCAGGGATTCCCGGCCGTGCCGAGCAGGGATTTGGGGTTTTTCTGGAACAGAGGAACTGCCCTGGCTCACCTGTCACACGCTGGGCTCTCTTGGGGCACCGCGGGCAGGAACTGGGGATCATTCCCGGCAGGAATAATGGGATCATTCCCGGCAGGAGCAACAGGATCACTCCAGCAGGAATTCGGGATCGTTCCCGGCAGGACTAATGGGATCATTCCTGGCAGCAGTAACAGGATCATTCCAGGCAGGAATTGGGGACCATTCCCAGCAGGAACTGGGGACCATTCCTGGCAGGAATGTGGGATGCCAGCTGCAGGAACCCCTGGGATGATGCAGGGAATCCCAAGCCCCCGTCCCTGACCGGGCTGCTCTGGGAGCGCTGCTTTGGGAGCTGCTCCGCTTCCCGGAGCCTCGGGGCAGGCAGGAGAGGAGGGGATTTACCCTGAACACTGCCAGAGGGAATCCTGTGCCACAGGGAATCCCAGCGCTCAGGGATGCGGGTTGGAGCCCAGAGGAGGGAGGGAGCATTTGGGGGCTCGGGAAAAAGGGGAGCTGAA